CTAGCTCACCAAAGCATATAACTAACTCTTTCCTCGAGTACCTTTAACTAAATTGTACCTCTACTAAGTGTCTCTCTGTACATTTTGACTAAACTTCTCCAACTTCCAGGATATCGTTGACCTCCTGAGCTTCAGTGAAGTTTTAAATAATTGCACTTTTGGACATATAGAGGAGATTTTCATTATTGCTTTGGTACAGTGACTGGTGCAACAGTGAAAGCCTTCTGCATATTAGTGTATACATGCATGGCGATATAGTTCATCAATCATTCTGAAAAAATATAGAAACACAACAAAGACCAATGAAATTTGAGTGTTGAGTAATTATATTCATAATACCCATGTTTACTCCATCTGTTACACTAGGTATTTTATTTATGTCCAATTACTTGTGGCTGATCTTCACAAGCACATAACTAGGACTACCACATCTGCAATTTTAGATTCAAATGGAAAAGTAGGTGCATAAAAATCATCCTCATGGGATTTAGCTGAACAACAAGCTGCTCTGGTTGGCTCTTGTTATGTTAAAACAACTTTCTTTGTACTTCCCACAGTATCCAATCTCCAGTTGAACATGGTTCACTTGATTATAGAATGTTGTACATTTAAACGTAACAATCAGAGGGAGTGAATGCCTGGAGCTAATGCTGTTGATTATTTGGTAAGATCTTGAATCAGAAGGTAGAGCAACTGTAACCAAAACCATACTTACTGAAAAAAAATTGATATAATGCCTGCAAATGTTTAAAACCCAGCTCCACATTTATATAATAAAACAAGAGAAAGACATCTTCAAGAAAAGATGTAATGGTATTTGCTAAGCTTGCCTAATTTTGCTGATGTAAATGCTGAACATGCCCTAAAATAAAGTCTATTTTTCTATAATCTACTTAATAAAAGATCTGAATGCTTAAATGGTTTTACAAAATTTTGTTGAACTTCTACTTCTAGTATACTAATATCAGAATTTGATGCATTGTTAAAGCACACAAGTAAAAGCAAAGCACTGCAGATGCTGGAGATCTGATACAAAAAACAGAAGATATTGGACAAACTCAGCAGGTCTGGCAGCATCAAGTACCATCTCCCACCTCAAGTGTGTCATTTAGTGGGTTTGCTGTCAGCAGAGCTGACCTATTTTCTGTTATTCACACCGAGCATGAACAGGAACAAGTCCAGAGAAACTTGGATGCCAAAGGATGTAAAGGACTGGATAAGGGAAAGGGAAGCTTAAGGTAGATGCCGAGGGGTCAGAACAGTGGAAGCCCTAGAGGATTATAGAAAATGCGTGGCAAGACAACAACCATAGGATCCATTCAGGACCAAGATAGCAATGTGTGTGTGGAGCCTGAAGATGTAGGTGAGGTTTTAAATTCATACTTTGCATCTGTAATCACTATAAACAAGGACAATGTAATTATAGAAATCAGAGAGGGGGCCTGTGACATACCTGAACAAATGAACATTGAGAGGGAGAAAGTATTTGCAGATTTAGCAGTCTTAAAAGTGAATAAACTCCAAGGCTCCAATGAGATATATCCCAGGTGGTTGTAAGAAGCAAGGGAGGAGATTGTAGGGCCTCTGTCATTAATTTTCAAATCTCCTGTGGTTACAGGAGAGGCCCAGAGAACTGGAGGACAGCTGTTATTACTATTATTAAAAAGGGTGGTGGAAATAAACCAGGAAACTACAATCCATTGAGCCTAACACCTATGGCAGGGAAACTATTAGAAAATGTCCTGAGGACAGAATTAATCTCCACTGGGAGAGGCATGGATTAATCAAGGGTAGTCAGCATGATTTGCAAGGGAGAGATCATATCTAACAACTTCAATTGAATACTTCGAGGAGGTGACTAGATGTGCAGTTGATGTAGCTTACATGGACTTCAGTAAGGCTCCAATTTGGCAAATTGGATCCAACTTTGGCTTAGTGGCAGCAAGCAGAGGTTGATGGTTGAAGGATGTTTTAGTGACAGAAAGCCTATGTCCAGTGATGAACCACAGGGCTTGGTGTTGGGTTCCTAGCTGTTTACTTACATGACTTTAGGATGATATAGATGGGCTAGTCAGATGGGCAGAACATTAGCGCATGGAATTTAACCCAGGAAAGTGTAAGGCATTGCATTTTGGGACGTCTAATAAGACAAGTGAGTACATATTGAATGGTAGGACCCTAGGAAGTAAAGAGGATCAGAGACACCTTGATATGCACATCCCTAGGCAGCAGGACAGATATGTAAAGTAGTTAAGAAGGCACGAGATACTTTCCTTTATTAGTCAAGCATTGAATGTAAGACCAGAGAGGTTATGATGTAGCTGTTTAGGGGCTCCCGTGACACAGTGGTCATCTTTTGTTTTGTGTGGATGTCTGGTGCGGACTTCCAAAATTGGGAGTCAGTGTATCAGCACACCAATTGGCATGCACAGATCCTTGCAGTGCGACCTGGCCCTTAGCAGTAACAGTGGTGGTACAGTCCCCACCTCTGGATCAGAAGGTAAGCGTACAAGTCCAGAGCTGTGAACAGGTTGAACATTTACAAGGTGAAGTCCAGGAAAATGGGATTGGATAGGTTTTTATGATTCTTTCTCTCCGTACTACATTATGACTCATCTTGTATCAGTATTTAGCCCTGGATGGAGTTTACCACCTGTTTTGGACAGCATTCACAAGCAGCTCAGCTCTGAGAAGGCAACGTCACGACGAACTGTGGTCCACCACTGGCTTCACAGCATCCCCAGGCAGGTGCTGAGTTGAATCGTCCGGGTGGACTGTGCGGATACCACTTGTTTACCTCTTAATAGTTTCACGCCCTCTCGCTACGCCCTTTGGATACAGAAGATAGAAGATAGAAGGGCGCTGATGGAGGATTGCTTTGCAGACTGGAGGCTAACGACCAGGGATGTGCCACAGAATTGGTGCTGGGTCCACTGCTTTTCATCATTTATATAAATGATTAGGATGTGAACATAGGTGGTATGGTTAGTAAGTTTGCAGCTGACACCAAATTGGAGGTGTAGTGGACAGTGAAGAAGGTTACCTCAGAATACAATGGGACATTGATCAGATAGGCCAGTGGGCTGAAGTGTGGCAGTTGGAGTTTAATCTAGATAAATATCAGGTGCTGCATTTTGGACAGGCATATAGGGCAGGACTTATACACTTACTGGTAGGGTCCTGGGGAGTGTTGCTGAACTAAGAGACCTTGGAGTGCAGGTTTATAGCTCCTTGAAAGTGGAACCCTACGTAGACAGGATAATGAAGACGGCATTTGGTATGCTTGCCTTTATTGGTCAGTGCGTTGAGAATAGGAGTATGTTGTAGCTGACAATGGTTAGGCCACTTTTGGAATACTGCATTCAATTCTGGTCTCCCTGCTATAAGAAGGATGTTGTGAAAGTTGAAAGGGTTCTGAAAAGATTTACAAGGATGCTGCCAGGGTTGGAGGGTTTGAGCTATATGGAGAGGCTGAATAGGCTGGGGCTATTTTCCCTGGAGCGTCAGAGGCTAGGGGTGACTTTATAGAAGTTTATAAAATCATGAGGTTCATGGAAGGGATAAATAGAGAAGGTCTTTTCCCCGGGGCGGGGGAGTCCAAAACGAGAGGACATAGCTTTAAGGTGAGAGAGGAAATATTTAATAGAATTCTAAGGGGCAACTTTTTCACACTGATTGTGGTCCATGTATGGAATGAGCTGCCAGAGGAAGTGGTGGAGGCTGGTACAATTACAACATTTAAAAGGCATCTGGATGGGTAGATGAATAGGAAGGGCTTAGAAGGCTACGGGCCAAATGCTGGCAAATGGGACTAGATTAATTTAGGATATCTGGTCAGCATGGACAAGTTGGACTGAAGGGTCTGTTTTCGTGCTGTGCAGCTTATGGCTCTGTGACTCTATGACTCATTCTGCATTTCTATCTATTCTTGACTATCATACTCTGTCTTTTGCACTGGGTGCCATTGCCCACTGTTCCACTTTCACACCCCCACCCCCAGCATCTAATGTTTTAAAGTAGATTTGTAGCTCGGGTTGTGGATGTTGTGGTTGGTTGGCTCGCCGAGTTGCTTTGTTATTCTGCAGACATTTCCCTAAATAATTAGCATCATTTTCCACTCCGTTTCAGTTCTGAAGAAGTCTTTCAAGTTGAAATATTAACTTTAATGAAAGCATGGACCAACACTGCGTGATATGAAGCCTGCAATTCAAATAAAGCACTGATATGTTCTAAACCCAAATTATTTCACTTCTTAAAGTGAACACCCTACCAACAAAATTCAAAATAGATAAATTCATCGAAAGCAATTTGGTAAAATGCTGAAACACAAAGGGGAAGTGGGTGCAATGGTGGAGAAAAGGAAATCCATGGTTCAAGCAGCAGCCTGTCTTGCCCACTCCATATTTCTGGATGTTGTCTCACCACCTTGTGCAGAGATGATTTAATGCACCTTTGGGACAAGCAGGACTTAAACCTTAGATGACAAAGTATAGAGCTGGATGAACACCGCAGGCCAAGCAGCATCAGAGGAGCAGGAAAGCTGACGTTTCGGGCCTAGACCCTTCTTCAGACTTAAACCTTGCTCTTTTGGCCCAGATGTAGGGACACTACCACTGCACTACAAGCGCTCCACTCCATATTTCTCCCATCTGCATTACTCTGCTGGATCACTGCTTCAGCACCCAGGAAATTCCCAAGGAGTGTTCAGCAGTCTGTGATTGACAGAGTCAAAAGTCACACACACCAGTTATAGTCTAATAGGTTTATTTAAAATCACAAGCTTTTGGAAAACTGCTCCTACGTCAGGTGAAGTCACCTGTGAGTTTTAACTTAGTCCACCCCAGTCCAATACCAGCACCTCCACATCAATGTGATTGGGACTTCACATCACCTGACGGACAGCCCAGTGGAACCTGACGTCATCCGACAGACCACCCTACGGGATCTGACGCCATCTGATTGACAGAGAGCGAAACCACATGATATCCGGAAGACGGCGTGTGTGCAACGGCGTTGGACCAATCAGGTAGAGAGGGGGCGGGGCTTCAGCTCGGGTTGACAGGAAGTTGAAGCAGTGCGTGGCGGTCGGGTGAAGCAGCTCAAAGTTGACTGAAACACGTAGGAGTAATGAAGAGAAAGAACCACGACACTGGGCACTTGGTATGTGCACAGCTTTTATTGATCTGAACTCGGTCCGTGTAGTACATTAGGCGTGCTAATTCCATATGTTTTACCCATCCCCGTACGCAATAAGTGTCCTTGTTGCTGAAATATTAGTTTATTAGTGATGTGTGGTTGCATGTGTATTGAAGCAAACCTCAACACATCAATATCTTCCCTCATTTATTACTAATTCAACACTGAACTTACTTACTAATATCTGCGATATGACAGGCCGTGGGATGTCGACTTCGCTGGCCAGCCCAGCATATGTTGCCCATCCGGAATTGTCCGGAAAGCTGTGTTAAGAGTCAACCACATTGAGATGGATCTGGAGACACATATAGCCTAGACCAGAAAAGATATATTTTTTTCTTTATTCGTTCACGGGATGAGGGCATCGCTGGCCCGGCAGCATTTATTGCCAATCCCTAATTGCCCAGAGGACAGTTCAGAGTCAACCACTTTGCTGTGGGTCTGGAGTCACATGTAGGCCAGACCAGGTAAGGATGGCAGTTTCCTTCCCTGAAGGACACTAGTTTCCTGACAATTGACAATGAATTCATGGTCATCATTAGATTCTTAATTCCATTACTTATTGAATTTAAATTCCACCATCTGCCATGGTGGGATTTGAACCTGGGTCCCCAGAATGTTATCTGGGTCTCTGGATTAACAGTCCAGTGATAATACCACCTCATGATTCCTCAAATTTGAAGCAGCTGATGTTCAAATGCAACAAGATCTGGACAATATCGAGGCTTGCGCTGCCAGGTGTCAAATAACATTTGCGCCACATACGAGACAATCTAACAACCACCACCACCACCACCACTTGACATTCAATGGATTTAGTATCACAGATTCCCTCACTATTGACATCCTTGGGATACCATTGACCAGAAACTGAATTGGACTTGGTATATACACTGGCTACAAGAGCAGGTCAGAGGCTAGGAATACAGCAACAAGTAACTCACCTCCCGACTCCCAAGATTATGTTCTTCGTCGACAAGACACAAGTCAGCGGTGGTCCCCACTTGCCTGGATAAGTGCAACTCCAACATCAAGAAGCTTGACACCATATAGAACAAGCAGCCCCCTTGACTGGCATCACATCTCAAACATTCATTTCCTCTATCACAACTGCTCAGGAGCAGCTGTATGTACGATCCACAAGATGCTTTGCAGAAATTCACCAAAGGTCCTTTAATAGCACCTTTGAAACTCTTGTCCATATCTGTCTAGAAGGACAAGGGCAGCAGATACGTTGAACACTGCCATCTGCAAATTCCCTTCCAAACTACTTACCATCCTGATTTGGAAAGAGATCACTGTTGCTTCAGTGTCGCTGGGTCAAAATCCTGAAATTCTGTCTCTAAGTGCATTGTGAGTCTACCTATGACATATGGACTGCAATGGTTCCAGAAAGTAGCTTGCCAGCACCACATTTGAGGGCAACCAGGGACGGGCTATAAATAGTAGCCAACAGCAATGTCCTGTGAGTGGATTGAAAAGAAATGAAAACTGCATTTTACAAAACAGAGCACATAGAATAAATGGAGCAGTTTCTGTGCTGTGTATCCATGATGATCCACATAATCCTCTTGGGGTATTTGCTTTTCCAAAAAGTTCTAGATGAGAATTTTTCAAAGTATTGTTGAGATTCATGATAATGATTTAGTATAAAGAAATTGGCTGAAGTATCACAAATATTGGGCACTGGCTGAAGACCTGGTGCACCAGGAATCAGTATTTGGCCCAATTTTATCTTTTTCAGTAATTTAGCCTTAAAAATTCAAATTGCTGAAATGTTACTGTTATGTATGGTTGTCACCGGGAAGCACTTTATTCAATTTGCAGGCTCGGCAAACATTTATTGCCCATCCCAAGTTGCCCAGAGGAGGGAGTGGAGGAGGCAGTTGCTTTCTGGTGTTAATCGGTAGATTATTAATCCAGAGATCCAGGCAATATTTGGATGATCGGAGGTTGAATCCCGCCATGGCAGATGGTGGAATTTCAATTGAATAATAAAATTCTGGAATTAAGAGTCTATTGGTAATCGTTGTTCATTGTCGGAAGAACCCAACTGATTCACTAAAGCCCTTTTAAGGAAGGAAGCTACCATCCTTACCTGGTCTGACCTCCGTGTGATTCCAGACCCACAGCAGTTAGGAGTGGGCAATAAATACTGGCCTAGCTCCAGTTACGCCCTCATCTTGAGAATGAATTAAAAAAACTTAAGGTAGCGAAAGACGCACACATGAATGCAGGTTCCTTCTTTTGGCAGTTTATGGATGAAATATTCGGGCAAAATCCCATATTCCCCCACGAAGTTGCCAGTAAAAGAAAATCCCATGACACTATTTTGAACACGAATAATGGAGTTATCCTTTTGTGTCCTGGCAATACTTGTCCCTCAGTGATTATCTTAATGATCAAATGATCTGTTTTAATCACAGTGTTGTTTTGAAGCATTTGCTGTTAACAGAACTGATTGTCTCAGTTCTGCCATTGCAACACTGATTGCGCTATAGAAGGAAGTACCTCAGTGGCTGTAAACTGCTTTGTCACATCCTCAGATTTGTGGACAGCACTATATAAATGGAAGTCTTTCCTTTTCTTCAGTTGTTCATTAATCATGTGTGGTCTCTTGGACCATTACACCCAAGATCATTTAAAAAAAATTATATTGCAATGACCTTGAAGAGAACATGCAGTGATTCCTACCTCTCCTTGCTTTCTGCTAGCAATCTACAGGCTTGAAGAGTGTTTGTTTCATTTATTCAATCATGGGATGTGGTTTAACCACCATTTATTGGACTTTTCTATTAGCCTGAAGAAGGTGGAGGTGAGCTACCTTCTGCAACCCATGTGGTGAAGGGGACACACAGTGCTATTAGGGAAGGAGTTCCAAGTCAGGATGGTGTGTGACTTGGAGGGGAAACCTGCAGCTGATGATGCTCCAAGAATCTGCTCTCTTTGTCCTTGAGCTGGTACAGGTCATAGGTTTGGAAGGTATTGTCAAAGGAACCTTGGTAAGTATCTTGTAAATGGTACGCACCCACTGCCACTGTGCATCAATGGTGAAGTGAGTGGATGATGACGCTCATGAATGGGCTGCCAGTCAAGCGGGCTGTTTTGTCTTGGATGGTGTTAAACTTTTTTGTTGTCAAAGATGCACTCTTTCAAGAAACTGGAGAATATTTCATTCCTTTCCTGACTTATGCCTTATGGATGGTGGATAGGCTTTGGGGAGAGAGGAAGTGAGTTGCTTTCAGCAGAATTTCTAGCCTCTGACCTCCCCAGAATTAAATGGCTGTTCCAGTTCAGTTTATAGTTGATGGCAATTCCTAGGATGTTGTTAGTGGGGGAACTCAGTGATGGTAACACAATTGAAAGTTGAGGGACGGTGATTAGATTCTGTTTTGTTGGAGATGGCCATTGCCTGGTACTTGTGTGGCATGAATGTTACTTGCCACTTGTCAGTTCAAGTGTAGACCTTATCTAAGTCTTGCTGCATTTGGACACTACTTTGTTAAGTGAGGAGTTATCAACGCTGCCGAACATCGTGCAATCATCCATGAACATTGCCCTTTTAACTTTATGAAGGTAGGAAGGTCATCAATAAAGCATCATATGTGATCTTAGTCATAGTTTTCTCCTGTTTCTTCTCTGCAATTTAGAAGGATTAAACACAAGGGCAGATACAAATAAGTCAAGAGTCATGCTACTTTCTTGGTTCAAATGCACAACAATAGAGATTTGTAAGATTTTAGGGTAAATTTGTAGTTCGGGTTGTGGATGTAGTGATTGGTTGGCTTGCCGAGCTGGTTCATTGTTCTGCAGATGTTTCATTACCCTGCTGGGTAACATCATCAGTGCAGCTTCCGATGAAGCGTTGTTGTATTTTCCTGCCTGTTATTTAAACTCTGGTGTCCGTTGAGCTGGATTACCTCACTTCTGCCTCACTTCTGGTTTTCCTTCGCAATGGAGTGTATATCTGGTTCAGCTCTGTGTTTATTGGTGGCTTTCTTAGTGGCGAACCAGGCTTCTCGGAATTCCCATGCTTGTCTCTGCTTTGCCTGTCCCAGGATCCTGCAGGATAATGAACAACGAACCAGCTGGGCAAGTCAACCAACCACAGTAGAGATTTGTAAGGGGGATGTGAGGCAGAAGTTTGCCCTTCTTTGTTAATTTAACCGTATGTATCTTGTTACATCAAATTTTTAATCTTCTATGCCTTAATTTAAAGGATTTTGAGAAATTCCAAGATGAAGAAGACAGCAATGTTGACGAGGAGGTGGAAGAAGAAATTAAAAATCCTGGAAAAAAGAGAAATGTCATGAAAAACAAGCAACCAAAAGCTGTTGGAGTAATAGAAGCTGTTAAACTAAGTAAAAGAGAGCTGTACAAGACTCCAACTAATGAAGAGCTCAGTCAGCTGAAAGAAACAGAGAATCTCTTTCATTCTGCTTTGTTACGAATGCAGGTATTACACCACGATAAAACAACCTAATTTTCTTGAACGTTTGAATGTTTCAATTATGGAAAATAGAAAACTTCTTTTCCCTTGCCCTATTTCCACCCTGTATCACATTGAAGCACAAAAAGATGCTGATTGAACAGTTATTCCTTTGTTTAAGTGTTACTCTCTCCTTTTCTGAAAGCAGTGGCTTGTGCTTAGGTATGATTTAATGAGCAGCAGCAGCAGTACCCCCCCTTCTACAGGACTGTCGAAGGGGATATTGTAGACATCTTCATGTCATGAACTGATGCCTGAAAAAAGTAGGAAATAAAATAATTTGAAAGATAAAGCAAACCTTGGTATACACGCTACAATTTAGTCATAATGTATTAGTGAAGGTCTAAGGCACAGAAAACGGCCCTTCAGCCCATTTAGTCTGTGTCAGTCAAAGACAAGGATTTCTACCTCTACCAGTCTTGAACGCAGTGAGTTCCAGATTCCCACCAGCCTCAGTGGAGAAATTTTTCCTCCTCTCCTTTAAACCTCCTGTCCTTATCTTAAATCTATACCTCCACTATTGATCCCTCCGCCAATGGAAAAAGTTCTTTCCTGTCTACTGTCTCTATCTATGCCCCTCAATTTTATACTTCTCAATTATATGTCCATCTCCCGCTTCAGGCTTTACTGCTCCAAGTTAAACTATCCGAGTCTCTCCAATCACTCTTCATAATTAAAACTTTCCATCCTGGGCAACATCCTAGTAACAAAAACAGAAATTGCTGGAGAAACCCAGTAGACTTGGTGACATCTCTGGAGAGAAAGCAGAGTTAATGTCTTGGATCCAGTGATCCTCTGGAACCGATCTAGTAAATCTGCTCTGCATCCTTTTTGGTACAATAATATCCGTGCTGTAATGTAGATCCAGAACTGCACACATTACTGTAGCTGTGGCCTAACCGACATCTTGTATGGTACCAGTATCAGCCTGCCTGCTCTTAAACTCTTGTTTCTGTTAATAAAGGCAAGTATCCCATTTGCATTCTTAATCACTTTATTTGCCTGTCCACCTACCTTAAGGGACCTATGGACATGCATGCCAAGGTCCCTCTTATCCTCCTCTCTTCCCAGGGTCCTACTATTCTTTATATATTCCCGTACCTTATTTGTCTTGCCCACGTGCATCACCTCACACTTATCCAGGCAAGTCACTAGCCAAGACCTGCAAACAACTGTGGTGAAATTGTCTTAGTAACTTGATATCTGGTTATTATTTCAGAGACCAAATGGAGAATCAAAGCTTCTCACCGTAAAAATCTGTACGTATCTCTGTATTTAGACAAAGTCAAATATCTGGCTGGTCTACCAGATTTTTGTCCCCTGTAAACTTGAGGCCATCCAAACTTCTGCTTCACATGGTCTAACTCTCACCAAGTCCCATTTTCATTGGCATTCACAGGATGTAAATGTCACTGGCTGGAAATAGGAAATTAGTGGAAAAAATTCTGAGGGACAGGATCAATCAATACCTGCAAAGCACAGGTAAATAGGAGAGTGGGAATGCACAAAGGATGCTTACTTTCATTAGCTAGGGCATAGAATACAAGAGTCAGGAAGTCTTGTTGCAACTTTATAGGTCATTAGTTAAGGCACAGATGGAATTTAGTGTGGCAACCAGAGTTGCACACAATTGGAAGGGTGCAATTGCACTGGAGAAGGTGCAGATGAAGTTCACCAGGATGTTGGCTGGGATGAAAAGTCTCAGTTATGAGGAGAGACTGTATAGATCGGGTCTATTTGCCTTGGGGTGGGGTGGCGCAGTGAGGGGCGGGGGGGGGGAAGGGCAGGGATGGAAGATCTGATTGTCTATACTTGTCTTAATTTTGTATACCTCAGAGTAGATTATGAGAATCTCTTCCTCATGGCATATGTTTGCAGTGAGGAGTAAATGGTTTGGAGGGATCTGAGGAAATATTTTTCGTCCAGAGTGATAGAAATAGGAAATGCACTTCCTGAGAGAGTGGTAGAGGTGGGTATTCTTGCAACATTTAAGAAGCATCTGGACTGAGCCCTTAAAATTGCCAAGCTATGGACAAAGAGCAGAGCAGGTAAATGGGATTAGTGTAGTTTGGTGTTTGTTGGTCAGCATAGACATGGTGGGCTGAAGGGTTTGTTTTGTGCCCTTGGTTTCTGTGGCCCAATGTTCTATTTAGTTTAATAATTTCCTGTGAAATGCTTTGGGACATTATCTTATAAAGAACCTTTAATGTAATAAAGTAGTTGCAACTTATAGTAATGAATATGAAAGTCAAATTAGAACTTGTTCTCTCCTGTGTTAAAAAGGCAGTATGACAATTACAGATTTTGTCAATCCAAACTTGGGTTAAATCTGGAAAAACTGGTGAACTGTAGAATGTTATAGGTGTCTCACTGATTCTGTAAGTAGTAGGAATAACTCAGTGATGTATTGAAGCTTTTTATGTTTACATAGATCCCAATGTGACAAATCAATCTAAAGATATCAATTATGACCCTGCCTGCATGATTAAATAATATTATGCATTACATGTTACACCCTTGCCTTCTGTTGCATCAATAGTTGCCAACACCACCAGGGCTTGGCACCTGCATGTGGGCCACAGTGTCCAGATCTTTGGGTGCCTTATGAGCCACCATGTGTGTCAGTAGACATTCTGCCTTTGAAATCAACTCACTGAGTAGTTGAAGTAGTGCAAACAGATTAAAACCAAGTATGACCTCTCCCTATTTATTTCAGAACCCCCTTCCTCTCCCCCATTTCTGATGAAGGGTCTAGGCCCGAAATGTCAACCTTCCTGCTCCTATGATGCTGCTTGGCCTGCTGTGTTCATCCAGCTCTACATCTTGTTATCTCAGATTCTCCAGCATCTGCAGTTCCTACTATCTCATGACTATTATATTCTGTTAGCAGTATTGATGTCTAGCAGTACTCAAAGTTCATGGAAAAATTGAAAGACTCTTTCTTCTTGTTGGAGAGTCAGTTAAAATGCTTATAAAAGAGAGAAACTTTGTGTTGGAGCACTGATTATCTTGGTACCAAGAATGGTTAAGGTGGCGATGGTTGGATCTTTTAAGGGAAATGCCTGTGAATCTCAAAGGCTGAGGGAGATGCAGGGCTACAGAGAGTAGTTTGTGGTAGTGCAGTGAGTTTTGGATTACTAGGTTAAAGAGCTGGTATAGTCATGACAAGCTGAATGGGATGTTTCTGAACATTAACTACAACGCTTTTGGGAAGCTCTTTTTATAATGAAGAAAAGTTCCTTCTGCTTACTGATTGCCTGTGGACATTAATACAGTGGTGAACACTTCTGTCACAGTTATAAGACATTGCACTTGTGAAGAATGTTTCTCCACTTAAAGGTTAATTAAATTCGATGGTAGAACAAAACTGTAATGAATTGTTTTGGTGGATGCTGTAATGTGGTGAGGTTGCAGTAACTATGGTACAGTTCTGATGATCCTTCTTGCTGAGCTCACGTTCATTTATTCAGGGTTTTCTTAGTCATTGAGGTCTACAGTACAACAAAAGGGCCGTTCCTCTCAAAGTCCGTGACAGTTGATAACCACTGCTCTAAGCATTCCACTTCCATAAATGTATCATGGCTGCAGAGGAGCTGCCATTCCCACCTTTTATTGTAACATAATCCTCAATTCGTAGGATTGGAATAGAAACTTTTTTTCTTTCTCTCTCCAGCAAGAAGGTTTTTTATACTTATTGTGTATCTCTTTCCAAATTAAGTTTTGTTTTCTACAAAGAGTCCTGCGTTCCTCTTAATGCCGCCAAAGTATTACAAAAAATTGACAAAAACAAGATGCCATTATTTCAAATAATCAATATAATCAAATCATCACCTTTAATGCACCTGTTGCAGCAATGCTTTTTCAATTTTAGGTCAGGACCGAATTTAAACGTGATTACCATCACTAGTCTACTATCTATAAATAGATGTTGCCTGGACACATTTCATGAAAGTGTTTACTTGGGCAAGGCAGTCAGAGGGTTGTTGATCCCCTGAATGTGATATTTCATACTGTATTCTGAACATAAAAACCTGAGGAGAATGAGCTGGGGAAGATCCTATGGCTGTTGAGCCTGCCCAGCATTCATCATGATCATGGCTGATTTTGGACTTCATCTCCACTTACCTGCTCACTTCTCATTTTGCTTGATTTCCTGACATGTCCAATCTTCCAGCTTTCAATAAATTTATAAATATTCATGGAGCATCATTAATGAGAATTCCATAGATTCACTTGTAATGAAGGAATTGCTCCCCTTCAGTGTCCCAATTCATTTGTACCTTATTCTGAAACTATGGCCCCATTTTGTAGGTTCTCTGACCAGGGGAAACAACATCTCAGTATCTGTCCTATGAATTTTCTTTGCAATCCTTAATATTACAATGAGATCACCTCATTAATAAGGGGACCAACATTGCTCTCAGTACTCCAGATATCGTCTCATCAGCACCTTGTACAGTTGCAGTAAGACTTCCTTACTCTTATGCTCCAAGCCCCTTGAAATAAGGACCTGCATTCCATTAGCATTTCTGATTAACTGCTACATCTGTGTGCTACCTTTCTGTTTTTCATTTATGAGTCTCCCAAATCCCTTTGTGTTGCAACTTTTCTCCATTTAAGTAATGTGCTTTTGTTGTCCCTCACAAAATGAACAGTTTCATGTATTTCACATTATACTCCATTTGCTAACTTTTGCCCATTTACTTAATCTATAAATAGCTCTCTGTAAACTGTTTGTATCCCTCTCACAATCTGCCTTTCCACCTATTTTTGTGCTGTGCTGTAGCCAAATTTGTAGCCGTTCACTTTCTTCCTGCAAATCACTAATATTAACAGCACTGATCTCTGTGGAACTGAGAACTGAAGACCAATAGTCCTCAAACAATATGAAGACAGCAGGAAAGAACTCAAAACAAGGCATTAGGAGCGCTAAAAGGAGCCATAAAATGTCTTTGGCCATCAGGATTAAAGAAAAGTCCGAAGGCATTTAATAAATATGAAAGGAGTGGGAGGGTAGCTGGGGAAAGAGTAGTCTTCTCAAAGACAAAGGAGGGAATTTGTGTGTGGAGCCAGAGAAGGGCTATGAGGTCCTTTAACGAATACTTTGCATCGGTATTTGCAAAGGAGAAGAACGTGGTAGATGATGAGTCTAGAGAGGGGTATGTTGATATTCTTGGAAATGTCAGTACAAAAGGAAAAGGTGTTGTGTGTTTGAAAAATGTAAGGTAGCCAAGTCTCCAGGACCTGATGGGATTTATCCCAGAATGCAGAGAGGTAGGTGAAGAAATTGCT